GGTGCAGTAAAGCAAAGCCTTACAAAGGAAAAGCTCAAGTTCCCGCTGTTTGCAGCCTCCCCATCATCTGCAGCAGAGGCAGTACTGAGCTCTCAGCTCAGTCCTCGGCCCCAGTGACACGTTTTCAACACAGACATCTAGCTGTGGTGACAGGCACAGCAGGCAGGTTCCATGGCTCCAGAAGTGGTTTGCTCTTAGTCACCTGATTTAAATGACAGAGTAGTCTAACTTCGCTTGAATTGCTCAGCAGTGCTTAATCCCCACTCAAAGTCTGCTGGTCATGAGGGAACATTCAGCTCCCAGCCACCTCCAAGGGGAAGCTCTCACTCTTATTCCCCATCTCCGGGTGATGGGGCTGGTTATCCCCCTGCACTGATGGACCTCAGGCTCCATCCCACTGAAGCCAGTGGAGTTGCACCACAGTGAAAAGCCGTGGCATCAGGCTGGTGTTTTGGCAGAGCGTAGGGTGAAGTAAGAGCAGAAGCAAAATCACGTAGATAAACTGTTGTCACTGTCACGCACAAAGTGCTTCTGCTCTTTGAGTTCTGGTTTGGCAGCTCCTGTGATGAGAGATGAGGGCACTCTGCTCAGTAGGACAGCAGCTTCCTCTTGAAGTCAATGAGCTCTGACACTTCAATCTCGAGGCTGCTCAGAGGACTGGGGTGATGGACTCCACCCTGGCCTTGCTGATGTTTGCTGCAAACTGATGGGCTACAGAGCACAGAACCTGCACAGCTAGTTCTTAGCAATTACCACCCGTCTACTCGTCAGCTCACCACTGACGACAAACAAGCAGAAGGAAACGCTCAGCAGGCGGTACCACAGCGTGTCCCTGATGCACCAGCTGAGTGTCCCCAGGAGCAGAGCTCCTGCCGGGGTGGGGGAGCACACGGGTACTGCACCCTGACCTTCAATGCACCACACAGCTCCAGGTCTGGGGGGGCCAGTCTGTGCATGTTGGCAAACATGCTTGTGGGGCTGTTGAACTGAGAACCAGGAGAATGGGGAAGCCTGTCTCCCAGTCACGCCATCCCCGTTGGCCTCACATGAGTTCCAGCACGCTTCGGCACAGCTCCTGGGGCAGCACACAGGGCTGATGGCTTGCTGAAAGTGTTAAACATTTTCACTTCAAAAGAAGAAAACCAGTGTGAAAGATCCTGCTTGAACAGGCCTGTTTCAGACCTTTTCTGGGAGGAGAGGAAGGAAAACTTTAATGCTTATCCTTCCAAAGCACCCAATGTGGGCTTCTGCAGCAGTGGCAGCTCTCATGGAAAATCATCCTGGCCCACTTTTCTGCAACAGAATGAGCACTCTTGGTTTTCTTCCGTGGCGTAATATATATTCCAATTCCAGTGGTCTCCTTCCATGGCTACACAGAAACAGTGTAGGATACCATCCTGGGTCTGGAGCACTTTCTTCTTCCGGGTAACACTCCTGTGTTTTGCAGAAATGCATCTTCCAAATTCTCCCACTCAACCTTGAGGCCAGCATCCCTTCTGCAAAAGCCAGTTTCCAAACCACAACCTGCCTCTTGCCTGCAAATGTACTTTTCAGCTTAAGGCTCAACCCTCCCACAACCTAAAAGCAGAAAGAAAAATATTGCAGGTGAAGCAATATATCTCATTTCTCTGCAAACCACCCCCCAGGAGGCAATGGCTGCACAGGCACATGCAGCCCCCAACATGCCTTTGCCTCATCCATCACTGGCAATGCTGTTAAAAATAGCAAGCCAGTCTCTCTGCTGCAATAAATCACTGCAGCTCTGGGGTCTCCTCCACCTACATGGGTTGAGATTTCAGCCCCACCACTGAGCAAACGAAACCTGCAGAAAGGGAGTAGGTCACAGCATGCCCCATCAAAGCTGTGCCAGTTGGGTTGCCAAGGCTGTGAGAGTGCATCCAGGGTGGTTTTCTGGATGTGCATCAGAGCAGTATTCCCCTGAAGCCTCAGCAATGTGTTTTTCTCCTGGCTCTTGGAGCTGATGAAAACCTTGGGGCTGTGGAGTGAATTGTGGGACCCCCAATACCATTCTCCCTGCCCTTCACCCCACCAAGGAGCACTGCACCTCTGGAGCCTTTCACTGTATTCCATGGGTGGTATCACAGCAAAAGAAATAAGAAGATAATAAATATGAGTAATAAACACAGAGAAGGGAAGAGGGAGCAAATAAACCTCAAACCAAATATTCAGAAGGGTCAGGGTCAGGAGGCAAAGCAGCTGTCTGAAAGCCCCACAGAGGTTAGTGGGTGCACGACATTAGGGAGCTGATAGTCAGCAACATCCTTGCAGATTTGGGCTCTGCACATCCTTCACACCTTTTCTGAGGAAATCAAAAACCCTTTAAAACATTCTCATAGCAAGAGATCAAGCAACACACCTCCTCCTCACCCAAGGAGCATAAACTGAATACATGCATTTCACAGGTGGGGAAACTGAGGTAGAGGGCACAGCAATGTGTTCCCAAGGTTGTCCTGCCTAATTTGTGTCCATTATGCATGAATCAAGCCAAACCAAGGACAAGACATGCAAACACAGGGCTTGAGGACATCTGTGAGTACAAATACCTGCTGGGAAGAGACTCCTGAGCCCCAGAGGGAGGGAAGGAGAAAAGGAGGGCAACTCGTGCATTCTCTTTGACGCTGGAGGGGTAACTCCCCATGCACAAGGCAAACAGGACAGGAACTGCACCTAAACTGCTGCTCACAGACACTTGTCGAAATCCATCCTGAAGATCTCTGATAATGCAGCTTCATCAGGCAGAGGATCACTGTCCTCTCCCCATGGCAGAGGGAGGGCAAGTTATTCCCATCCTTTTTTCATCAGTCCTTTCCATAGCTGACACCTGTTGTTTGGCCTCTCTTAACTTAAACAGCCAAAACACGTTCATTTCCTCTTCATAGTCCTTATTTTCTAGATCTCTGAAAAGTTGATCTGACCCTCCACATGACTGTGACATTTTCTGTACCCCCTCCACCACACTTCTCTCCAGCCCTATTTATAGTCGCTTTTAATGCGCCTACAACTTGACAAAACTCTTTGCAAAAGCCATGTGGGAAAGTGTGCTTGTGCATGGGGCAAGACTCAAAGCTCATCAAGGGTAAAAAGAATTATGTTAATCCTGCTTTCATGGGAAACACCAACATGTGGGAGGCTCCTGCAGCTTCAGTCAATCCTTGCTTTCAGCTGAGCAGGTTGCAGTGAGATGACCAGACTTCTGGCACTGACCAAACAGATCTCTTATAATAAATCTCTTTATTTTATAAGAGATCTAACAGATCTCTTATAATAAATGCCAATGGGAAAACTTTGTTTTGGGAAGCATCAGCCGCATTGTTGTTAACATTTCACTCCATTACCTCCCGGGGACAGACATCTGGAAACAGCATTGCCCTGATGGCTTTAGGAGGAGCAGGGGTGCTCCTTAGGAGCCAATGCTGGGAGAGAGCACTAGAAAGGGTTGCAAGCAGAGAGGTGACCTCAGCTGTGGGATTCAGAGCTCCCCTGGGGTTGTCTTGATTAGCATTCCAGCAAGCCCTGGTGCTAGCTGTGTTCTGAGGTAGCTTACGACTTCCAGGGAGATCCAGATCAGACTTCACCCATGTTGGACCTGCTGCCTGCTCTGGCTGCACCCCAGTCATAGTGAGCTTGTCTGTACAAACCAACCCTCTGTAAATGTTTGATGGAGGAGAAAATTACCAGCTGAGATGGAAAGAGGTTTAGTCAGACTTTGGGTCCAAAGGGGCTTTCCACACCTCAGCATGTGCCCGAGTAAATAACTCCTTCCTTTGTCCATGTTGTCAACCTGGCAGATGGCAGAACAGTTATCGATTACAGTTTTCCCCAGTACAGCAGGGCAGTCTCTGTCTTAAACATGACTTTGAAGAGCCCAAGGACAGAAAGCTCAGCACTGGGCTGCCAAGCTGGAGGAAGCTTCAGTCAAGACTCCTCCTGCCACAAACAGTGCTCTGCCCAGTCCCATCTTGCCATCCGGGCAATTTCACACCAGAACGTGCTGCCACTCTTCCCTGTTTAATTGATCACAGTTATTCCCATCCCACACACTTTCCATCTCCTGGACACACAATCTCTCCCAGAGGTAGAGGAGACTCTGTTCAACTCTCTTCTCTTCCTCTGTTTTCCTTTGCACAGCATGAAGTCCAAATGTCACTGGACTTTATTGCATCAATCCCTTGCTAACTCCTTTATTTCTCCTGTCACACTGACGGGTGACATGCTGGCAGGCTCCTAAAGCAAAGAAGCACACACTGCCCGTGGCATGGTAACAACTCTTGGTTTATCCCTCTTGCTTTACACCAGGACCTTGGCCACTTGGAACTGCCTGGTGTGTCCAGCCTGGCAGCCTAACTCGCCTCTGTCTGGGCACTGCAACTTCCCCAGAGTTAAATCACTTTACACCACTCAGTGAAAAAACAAGTGAATGTGTTTAGTGTTGTTTAAACCTTCAAGGTCTCATTTTTTTTGGTGCTCCTTTGCTTTGAGTTCCTTTCAAGGTTCCCAAATGCTCCAGGAATGGAGAGATCCAGGGCCAGCAACCCCATGGAAATAAGTGCCCTTGGAGCAAAGTGAGGATATGAATATATAAATATTTAACCAGGGGACACAGTGCCCCCTGTCCCTCACCCTGCCTGGCAATCATTACTGGGACTGAGCCACTCATGATCCGCAAAAATGGGACAGAAGGTGATGAAGTGAAGCCATTCCCACACAGCAGCTCTGGGGTTGCTTTTGAACCCCCCCAACCAGACACTCCACCGGGGCAGGACCACATGCCAAAATCCTTCTGCCCACCGTTGTCCCAGGCCAGCTCAGTGCAGCAGCTCACCCCATTTGAACGTCTGGTTCAAACCTCCATCTGTAGGGTAATAATTAACCTTGAATGGAGGTTGTGCAGCATTTTTCCCCCAACTCCTTCCTTCTTTTAAACTCTCAGACATAGTGAAAGTGAAACAGTGTCATAGCCTCTCCCGGTGAAAAAGGAGGTGAAGGTGCTGGAGGTGTTGGGCAGGTGCAGACAGGCCTTTTTGTCCACTTTTTACAGCCCTTTTCAGACGGAAAAGGAGGACGAAGAGCAGCGCCATTCTCAGAGGGAGCCCCTCAACCAGCATGTGCTTGAGGAATGATGTCCCAGTCAGCTGATGTGGGTGAACTGGCCTGGTCCTCTGCCCTGCAGAGCTGCCCACCTGCCACTGCATCTCCCCTGGATTTCCTGTAGCAGGGAGCTGCTCTCAGTTTCATTCCTGTGCCATTCCTGTGGATCATTCCTGTGCCATCCCAGCTCGCCGTGGATGGGATCAGTTTGGTCAGTACTTGGGTATATATTCCATCCCTTTTCTTGCCTGTTTCTTGTTCCTTCTTCCCTGGCTCCCTTTTCTGCTCAGCTTGTCCCTCTGATCCTTGCTGCTCTGCTTTGTCCATAGAGTCCCCATGCAGAGTTTGAGCTAGGTGTCAGCCTCCTTCCTACTGAAATCCCCGGACAATGGGGTGCCCTCCTCTCCCTCCCACCCTCTGTATGGGCTGTGATGGGGTGAGATCCTGAGAGAGGCAATGAATGTTTAGATACTCCTGTGAGAGCATGTGATGCAGGGTTTGATCCCTCTGTGAGAGCAGCTCAGCAAACCTATGGGAAAGTGCAGTCCCTGCAGCTCACAGCTTGTGAAATAACCATGCACAAGGGAGTGAAACTCTGATTGAGGAAGGGTGAAATCTATTTCCAGAGTCCCAACATGTCCGTTCACTGCAGTCATATTTCAACCTCTGGGCTGGACAGATCTGAGACAGGCAGTTCCTGGGTCACCTCAAGCAATAGCTGTTTCTAATGATTTGAACTGTTCACTGAGCTGCCCTGAGCCTGTGCCAGGGAAACATGGCATTTTCCACACTCAGCTATGCAAAGTATGTCTCCATGAGTGGGCTGTGTTAACTGGTGACCTGATGAGAGCCCTTTGCAAGGGAAGGAAGGCAAAATCTCTCTCTCTTCCCCCTTCCCAAGCATCTGGGCCAGCCCTCAGGGTGGGCAGAGGGGAGTTAGTCTGTCTGCAGCAGGACAGGAGCTGAGCAAGTGCAGGGGATGTGATTGCAGCCCAGTAGCACTGACAGAAGCACTCCTGCTGAAATCTGAAATCTCTTGCAGCATCCCCTGCAGCATCCCCTGCAGCATCCCCTGCAGCTCACGCAGAGCTTTGTTTGACCTTAGAGATGCCCATTCTTGGCATGCTGGGATGCAGTGCTCTGAGGCAGAATGTGAGCCCCTTCTGCATTGTACGGCCTCCTGCACTGTAACCATGATGATTCAGAGTGCAGAGATAGTTGTGGTTTTAATGGAAGGGGCTAGAGCAGAGCTCGGATACCCGCTGGGAACCACTCACCCCTGGGCCACCCCCAGCAGCTGTAGAGCAGAAGTAACAACATAACCCAAAGTTGCCATATTCAGATCAGAAAGTGGCAACACCCCAGTGAGACTAAGGGGGGATCATCATTCCTGCATGGCTGGAAATCCACCTAGAAGAATGGAAAGTAAAACCATACCTTGCTACCAAGTGAAATGGTATTTTTGCACAGACTTCAGCATCTCTGATGGTTAATGATTCCTTGGTGCAGGAGAAATAGCTGCCACTTTCCTGATTTAGGGAGTTAAGTGGAGCTTCCCAGAGCACCAAGTGCAGGCCAGCATCTGGTGTCTGTGGGTAGAGAAATTATTTCAGCAGCTGCAGGCTACAACAACTTTCCCTATCTTTGTATTATGCACAGGAAAAGAATGGGCCAGATTTTCACTCCAGGACTGACTTTGGAGGCAGAGTAATATCCTGTTAAGAACACCTCTAATTCTGCTGTTTTATGCATTTCAGTGATTACCATCAACCTGTTTGGTAAACCTCTTGTTGAAAGACAAGAAAAATAGAAATATGGAGTTAGACCCAAGGACTGTGACCTCAGAACCAGCCTCTCCGAGGAGCAGTGCTGGGGAGGAAAAGATGGAGATTACTTCTGAACTGAGCAGCCCAACTTCACACAGCAGGGACAGTGGGTTCTTTGAAAGAAGTATTAGAAGGTTAAGCACCTGGAAATTGAAACAAAGTCCGAACAAAGAGAGTGGAAAGGAAGATACTGGCACTTGGAAAGGAAAAAGACTTTTGCGATCATTTAGGAGCTATGAGAAGAACAAAACCACAATATGCGATGGTGTAGAGAAGATTGGTGAAAATAAAGAAGCAGAGCCCATTCAAGGAAAACCTCTTTCAGGTAAGAAGCAAAACCACCAGTGTTATTTGCTTGGCAGGATTAATGTAACCTTGAAGGTTACATTAATTTACAGTGTGCAAGTGTTGGACCCAACAGAGGTGCTAAAGAACAAGGTATCCCATCACAAGGGAGAGACAACTGCATCCCTTGCACGGTCTCGTTGGGTGTTACCTGGCCCAGGCTGGGCAGGTCACCTGCTGTCACTGAACATGCTGCTCTGTAGCCACCACTGCATTATTTCAACCATATCAGCAGCCTACCCATCAACCTGTCAGTGGACATATCGCCCTTCATACATATCAGTCACCAATCTGCTGACCACAGTTTGGGAACTGCTGGTCTGACAATACCTGGAAGTGCAGTGTGGACTATTTTGACACTATTGCCTGCATTGCCCTTCTGGACAATTTCTGCTCTTCAGCTCTCAGACTGATGGTCCCCTGACTGTGCTCTGTAGGTTGGTGCAAGGCCTTGATGGGGAAAAAAGATAGTTTGGCTGTGATCTGACTTGGCATCTCCACTTTGGTTCCTAATCTTAGAGACTGCCTTCCAAAGACACTTTCACAGATACTTTGCTCTCTTACACTGACTTTCCACCTGTCCTTCTCACAACAGCAGTGCTGCAAGTATTTATTGTTTGTCTTCCTCTGGCTGGTTACTCTCGTGTGTTTTGTCAGCATTATGTAGATAGGTCTTGGTCTAATTATAATAACTACCTTTAGCATAGCTCTCACCTTTCCCCAAGTGTGGGCAGACTGCAGTGACTTTGATCGTGGTTTGGGCACCACTTCACTCCATCTTTTCAAGGCAGAGGTACTAAAATGCATCCACCTGGAGATAGACTGAGGTGGGTTGACATGGCTAAATTTCTAGAAAGAAATTCTTGATCTTCTGCATAGAGTACCACAGGGATCAGATAGATGGGCTGGCATTGTCTCACTGCTGTAATGTGCTCTACCTCACTGTGAAGTTATTTACTGCTTTGCACTGATACATTGTGAGGTCGGTAAGCTGGATCTGAGCCTGTCTCATGAACTTTGCTAGTCTGATCTCAAAGGGTCATAGATGAGGAGCAACAGGAAATGTTATCATAAGATTTTTCATCTCCTGCAACAAATGAGCTGAATAATTGCATAAATAATGCCCATTCTCTGCTCAATAACTCATGTTTGGCCTGGACTAGAGCAGCTCTGTCAGAAACACATCCCATCCTGAGATAAGTATGGCAAGTGATGGAGACTCCACCATGTGCACCATTAAGCTGAATAATAGTTAATTGCCTTTCAATTGTCTTCCTTCAACCACCAGCTGGCTGATCTTGTATTGCTAAATTAAAGATCCATTTAGCACCCAACATCACCTCCCTGAATAATTATCCTAGATGGTGATTAAATGGTGTTTTCTCACTTTGATAAACAGAAGAGAATGTATTCCTCTAGTCTCTCACTGCAATCATTTGTATAAAAACAGGTTTTATATTAATTTATCTAGAAGAGACTAAGTTAATTGGTACAATCTCCCTCCCTTCCTGGTGTAGAAGCAACTGTAGCACCATATAGGTACTCAAAGATTTATATGTTCTATGATGTATCAATAGTTGGCATATGTGGCATATTTCTGTATTTATACAGATACTCTTATACTACACAGATAATTTAATACATATGGTATAAAACCCGTGTGCAGACAAGCCCAGGGGCACAAATTACAGGCTATGGACCAGTCCTTCATATCTTCTTTGAGTACTCTCCAATTTTTCCTTATCATTTAATATGTGTACGTCCCAGAAGTAGTGGTCACACATGCCTAAATAGGACCCTTTCCCTTCTCTTTAATATATGCCCAGTATCACAGTGGGATCTCCTGTTCAGAGCATCTGTTACAGTGCTGGAGATGGTGAGAGCTTCCCAAGGTCTCTCAAAAGCTAACAGTGCATCTGGATCTCCTCAACACATGGCAAATACTTCCTGTCTTACTGGCAAATAGGCAGTGGTTCTTGCATGAGCAAGGCTTTGTAAAGTAAATGTGAAACTCGGTAGACCTCAGCTACTGCTACCCCCACACACACTTTGGGGTAGCACTATTTGGTGGCTTTGGCCCAGCCTCAGCCAACACCAGCCAGTACTGGTAGTGGGGGCCAAAAGCAAAGGAAGTGGGGAAAACCCATGTGAGACCTGAGCACCAGGAGCACCCCAAACCTACAGGTTTGGATGCCCCTCCAGTGCACACACCTCCCCAAACCACTCAGTGCTTGCCACTTGGGAAACAAACGTCGCTGGTGCAAGGCAGTGCTTGGCATCTGACTGTAAGTTTATATACAAGAGGTGAACAGCCAAGTCATCCAACCCTGAACCACCCCAGGAGGGTGAATTTCACATACATGGCATACTTGGTGTTTCGGTCTTTATTCCGGGATACCAGGACCACCATCCCAGAGAATCTCCTCACTCCCCAGCCAAAAGATTACTGCAGGTTGCAATAACTGCAGAGCTAAGAAGTGGTGTCTTCTGGTCCTCCAGAAGTCCCTCTTTTTGATTGAGAGGAGGCTGAAGACCACAGGCATTCACAGAACATCTAAATGTCTGGAACAGGTAAGAGGCATCTTACCTGTGTCAAGAAGCCAGTTTCTGTGACTGACACAGGCTGCAAAGGGTGGCCAGTCCCAGATGGGCCAGTCTCTGGCTTGCTGTCTCAGTCCCTACATCTCAAGAAGAGAGACCTCATTATGGAATCACCAGAAACCATCTCTGCATTTTGTTCAGCCTCAAAAATGCAGAAGCTAGTTTAGCTGTGACATTAGTTGGATGTATTTTAGGAAACCTTGATAATGCACAAAATCAGAAAAGGAGAGAAGCCTGGGGTTTGCCCAAGGTTACATTTAAACAAGAAATGTTCCAAAAAATGTGTCAGGAGCAGTGCTGAGCACACTGGTATACAGGAAACAAGGACAGATATGCTAAAGGAAATCCTACTGGTATGGTATATTCTGAATTCTTCCTGATGCCAGTCACACTTCATCTCCACACAAGCAGAGAGGCAAAGACAGAGGTGGTTTTATGCTGCCTGAGCCCCCAGTATCCCCCTCTGCAGCCTCATTAGCCATTGCTTGAGGTTTTCCTGCAGGGCTATCATCAGCTTTTTGGATATTTCCTACCTCTGTAACCGGCACTTTAGAGATGTGGCTCGATTTGCAGTGATTGCATTCCCACTGTTTTCCTCTCCTGTGTCAAACAGGAGCTGAAGAGGTCGAGGGGGTCAGTCTCAGGGGCACTACTGGGACCTGGCTACTCAGAGCAGCCCCCTGCAAGCCTCCCTGTGGGGCATTTTGTCCTGTTACCTACCTGTCAAGAACCTAACACCTGCTTTGTCCCAACCCCTTCCCCTCTCTTTCTGCAGTAATGGAAATCAATGAACTTATTCAGAAAAGACAACTCCTGGAAGCATTTGCAAGTATCAAGTTATTGGAAGATGAGACTATCTCTGAACGGAATGCTGAGAAATACAAAGATAACCCACAGGAGCTTTTACGGAAATCCAAGGATGTGAATTTCCTTTATAACTCCATCACAAATGCTATCCAGTCCATAGTGGAGGGAACGCTGGAAGCCTCCACTGTAGAGGAAACCATGCTGACCTCCATGGTGACTTTAATTGCCCATGAAGAAGCAGCTCATCCCAACACAGACAAAGCTGTTCATCCTGGGTCAGACTTGCTTGGCAGGCCCAGAAAGTGGAGGGAGATGTGGAGGGAAGCAATCAACGAGAGTGCTAAAAAAAGAGTCCTGAAGGCACCCATGGCATCAAAGGAAGAAGATAGTTCTTGGCTTGATCTCCACTTAAATTTCCTCCAGAAACTCCTGAGGGAAGATTTACTGAAAATTAAGTTATCAGTAAAAAAGTGTTATCCCGAGGAGTACCAGGTGTGTGACACATATGTGGAGGCTTTTCATAAGGCCATTGCCTCACATTTGCAACACCTCTGCCAGAGACTGCTGGATTTCAATGAGCTCTACACCTTGCTCAACTGGGTGGCCAACACCTACCACAGGTGAGCTGCTGTGCTCGTCACATTTCCTCTGCCTCCTCCGGAGAGCGGCAGGGCGGTGGGGTACTCCAAAAGCACTGAGCTATTCTTAGCTTTCCAAGTGAGCAGGAGAGACACAGTGACTTCTACAGTGGAGCCAGATAGCAAGTGTGTTAATAGGTGGGGACAAAGGTTTGTGGATAAAGCACTTGCTGTTTTCTAAAGATGTACCTCACCCCCTTTTTCCCCTCCCTGTCCCACTAGCTGTTCCCACATGGCAGGAAGCTCCTCCTCACAGCTCAGATAAACCTGCTCCTTTCTGCAGATATTTTGCAAGATCCAACAGCTGCTCAGTGACTTTTCCAGGCACAGGGAGGGACCTGTGGGGGAGGTCTTTTTCCTGTTTAATTAAAACCATGATGCATTTGGCAATGGGCCACATTAACCCCCTTGCATGGGGTCAGAGTTCTCTTGAGGAGGTGCCAAGACATCATCAAGTGGAATTTTTATCCACATAAAAACAAAGGCTCTGTCTCAGACATGTCTGCTAGTTGAATGAGAGGTTTCTAGAACCTCTTAAGGCTCCTTGCAATTCAGGGGGGACTGAAATATTCTAGGAGCTGTAGGGACGTAGTAAACACTATCCTCAGGGCACCCTGGATGTATGGGGGTACAGGCAGGAATTTTTTGTAAAAGCTGTAAAAACTGTGTTGCTTGTACAGCCAATGGAGACATCTTAGTTGCTCACAGAAGGTCCATGCATCGAGTGTCAGTGTCCTCAGTTATTTCCTGCCCTAGACCACAGCCCATCACCCCAGCCCCAAAGAGCTCCCAGACTAAAACTCAGCAGAGATACACAGCGAGGTGGGAAGGAGATGAGAAGCAACATTCACAGGAGACGGGTCTGGAAATAAACATGTGAGAACAGTCATGTCAAAGTAAAATCCTGTCTGTCCCAGTAGCTGGTCTCCAAGAATGGCCTGAACCAGATGCCCAAGGAAGGGACAAATGCAAAGCAATTGACAGCCCTCAAAAAAACCTCCAAAAAACAACAAAGAGGGAGTGAAGGCAGGAGTATCAGCACTAAGTCAAACAGTGGGCAAAAATGACCAGGGAGGGAGGCAGTGGTGGAGCAGGGCAAGCAGCAGTACATGGTTTCCCAGAGCACCCCTAGTCTGAAATAGCTTTTGGGTAAGAAACACTTGCACTGCAGGTAGTCTTTGTTTTGAGCAGCCCTCAACATATTTCTTCGTGAACTTGTCCAGTTACTCCTAAAACCCTATTTACAGTGTGGTGACCATGATGATGTGTGTAACCCCCTCAGCATCATCAGGCCCTACTGATCTCATCTGGAGGGAAATTCCTGCACGTCCTCAGCCCCTGGGAACTGTACTGCACCCCAGTATTGCAGGAGAGAGAGGAAAGAAACAAACTTCAGCAGCTGGGTTCTGCATGAAAGAAAAATGCCCCCCCCCCATATTTCTCTAACTAAGCTGTGAAAAAGCTTGTTAAGAGGTTGCAGCTGTTTGGGGCACTGTTTGCAATCACCTTGATGGTTTGGGCTGTTTTAATTTAATTTAATTTAATTTAATTTCATTGCTCCTTGGAACCCATTCCAAAAAAGAAGAAATTGTCTGACTGAAACTCATTATTGGTGTTACAATTCAAATTAATGAAAAAAAAGAAAGAGTGGGGACTAAGCTCCTCAAGTATACACTTGAGACAATCCTTTCAGTTGTGGTGGAGAGTCTGTATTTAGATCTGTGATGTCCTTTTGAATGAGCAGCAGACTCTGGTAGCAGTGGGCTGTGCAGTGCTCCACATGTGCAGATGTACCTCTCTGGGAAATCTAAACCATCACTGTGGAACCATTGACTCCAGGACACTATCAGCAAGCTGAGTTTATTTTCTGCTGAGCAGTCACTCTGCACCAGGCTGACCTTGTACAGTACAATCCTCACTTGGATCCGAACCTGACTGTGGGCACAGTGCTGGTTTGGCAATGGGAACCCTTTTTGGCTGAGGGAATGAGCAGGCTGTGTGTAGGACATCACAACTGTGTTCCCTGGTAACCAGGTGACTGCTTGAAACTTAAGCCCTACCTTCATCAAGTGCATAAATATTTTCTTCTTTCCATTTTCCACCTTCATGACCCTGCAAGATGCAATGCCTCCACAGTCCGTGGCAGATTGCAAGAGCAGCACATTCAATTGTACAGGCTAATGACGTTTCTTGCCCTAGAGAGAGAAGCACAGGCACTCCCTCCCTTTCCCTGCTTCCAGGCTAATCAGCTGGTCTGAGTACATGTCAGTCCAGAGGAAAGTGAGTGGTAATGGTAAAGTCGTGTGTCAGCTGAGCACACTTCGGAGTCAGACTCTGTAGCTGCACATCCACCCACCACTTCCATCTGCGGGGGAACATGGCTCGAATCCCAGGCATGGGAGCGCCTTCCAGGGGCTGCCCTGCACGGAGCAGGTCCTGCTCTGCCGCCTTCCCTTGCTCCGGATAATGCACAGAGAAGAATAACAGGCTGATAATGAGCCGTGATGTGACACGGGAGAGGAGCCAGGGGGATCAGCTAGCGACAAAGCAGCAAGCTACTACAGGAATTACCCTGAAAGGCATTTTGCAAGCTCATAGTCGAATGAATCAGCTTCAGGTTGTTTATTTTAAAAAGTAAATTCTCATAGCACTTTTCATGTCCAAACAACTCAGAAGTCTCATGATTTCTGAGGTGGGCTGGAACCTTACATCATTTTGGGTTTGAATAATTAGGATTGTGAATAGCAAGGAAAGATTTTCTTGTTAAATCTTGAAAACAGGCATCACAATTTAAGCTTTAAGTATATTTCTCATGGCTTAATAATTACGTAGTTCATGCTGCATGAATATTCCATCAGTTTATTCACACTCTGAGGCAATATAATTTGTTAATTTGAATCTTTCCAGTGAACTCTTTCTGGGTCACCCTGATCTCAAACCAGAGGTTAAGACAGAAAACCTGTCCCTGCTGTTTACACCAGCTGACTGGGATAAACTGAAAAACAACTACATTGCTTCTGCAAAGGTAAGAGCTTTGACCTAGTCCCCACATGCCCCCTCAGGGAAGGTACAGGAGCCCCAGCCTCCCTGGCACAGCTCTTGGATGACCGTGTTGTGGTTTCTAGCCCCACCAGCTGCTGAGTCCTGCCAGCACCGCACAGAATGCCCTTTAATGAAAAACAAGAAGGTCCTGAACACCAACTCAGGGACCCAAGCTGAGTCAAAGGGACTGTACCAGACCCACACAGTGTGGCAGAGGCTTAATGAAAGGTTGTAGCTGGGCTTTATCAGATTGAATGCACTGCAAAGCCAGGTGTAAAGGCATTTTAGCTGCTACTGTCACTGTGTGGGATCTTCTCCAGCACATCTGAGGTTTGCTACAGGTAGACAACTTTTGGCATCCCCACCAGAAGGCGCCCCCATGGTTCATGCCCTCTGAGGAAGCTCCTTCTGCAGTTGTTTTTCTGCAGTCCTTGCTGGCACCCTTTGTAAGACTACAAGCTTTCCTGGCTTTTTGCTGGGCTCAGTCATTTTCTTGCAAACCGTTTCTGAAACGGGGCACTGATCAAGGTGAGCTCAAGGTGCCCAGCTGAATGAAATCAGTATTGCTCCACCATGCTGGTGAAAGCTCACTGTTTCACCAGCAACAGGACTGATTTATCAGCTAGGACTGAACACTGCTGCTGGTTACTTGAATGGCTGTACCTCTGGAGAGGACCGATTTGATCTTTAATCCTGACCTGGTGCATTCCATGTGCTGGAGGACTTTGTAATCAAACAAACAGCTGACATACTATTTCCTGCCAGGAGAATGACTCTCCTTTGATATGAGAGTACCTTGCCCACACACAGCACAGCTCCTGATTTCTCCTGAGATCCTGTTTAGACTGACAGGACTGGAGCAACACCTGTGACTCTGCTTACCTTTCCATGCTGTGCACGTGAACCTTACACACGTGACAATGGAGCAAAATGCAGTGAGCCTCTGTATTCATGTTTGCTTCCTTATCCTGAGCTGCATGTTTCCTTCCTACGTTTAACATTTAGGAGAAAATCAAAAGTTATTTTGGAAACATCCTGAGACTAGAGGTCACAGAGAAGTGGGAGAAGGAAGTTCATTCAGAAGTGGAGGAAAACCTCTACCACGCCTCGCTCTCCTTTGATATTCAAACGGTATTTAATTAGCTGGGGTAATGTTGGGGGGGCCTCTGTGGCTCCAGGGAAACTGAATTGTTACCTTCTGGGGTCGAGGTACTGCCTCCTGCCATAATTTATGTAAGTCACGCACTGGCAGAATACATTAGAGCAGAAAATGACATTTATTACAACTTCTGGCTCTCCCGCTTGCCTTCTAGCTGCAAATTAAACCTGCTGTCAATTGTGTCAGCAACATAATAGGCAACTGATTTTAAAGTCCCTAAGCCTCTTTGATTAGAAAGAAGAAAGAGAAAGGGAAAAAAAGATGGAAAGAAAAGGTTTGTTAGAAAAAAACCCCTTGGCTTAAAGAACAACTTTGTCCCGGGGCTGTGGAAGCTGTGGAAAGGCCGTAGGCAGTAACAGCCACTCCAATTTAAACAGTACAAAAAACAAAAGCTCCTACTAGGTTTAGGGGCTACAGGGTAATAAATCCAGGAGGGGTTTGGATTCATTCTCCTCACTCAATTGGTTGAGTCACTTCAATTAAATAATACTAACAAAAAAGAGAGGGAGAGAAAAAGAAAATCAAAGAGTTTTGCCTGCTGCCATGACTATTTTTCCTTAGAGAAATACTACACATTATGTGATCGTGGGGAAGGCAGGTCTGAATTGGATTAGCAGATGGATAGGAGGCCTTGGTAAGCACCAGAATGGGACTACAACATGCCTCACTCTGGAGGTGCAGTCAGGACTGTGGGAATGGGAATCCAGGAGGAGTCCCAGTGCAAACAAGGCTTCAGGGTGGTGCCTGACCCTCTGTGCTGCCCTGTTACCACTCCTGAGAAGGGGACTTGTGTGAGCCTCTAGGGATGGGGCTTATAGTCATCCTTATCATGGGGTCATGCATGGGAACCGCTCAGCTTCCCTTGGGTTGCTGATTGATCCCTCCCAGAAACCCCCCAAAAGAGGAGGATGACACTGGGTGAGGTCGGAGCTCCAGCCAACACCACCTCTAACTCACACTCAGACAGCAAAAGGACATGAAGCAATTAGGGATGAATGATTATATCACAAATCAATCAGTGCTTCTTAGCCCATTCTGTGTTATAATTTTTAAAACTGCCAGAGAATAATGAAAATCTCCTGGCAACAAGTTGGCTGTTTGCCCCTTTGCTAGGCAAGCCATCCTTACTAACCAAAGCTGCATGAGATCCTTGGAAAGGATGTTTCTCCCATGTCTGTCCCATTCACTGGAGCTTTTTTGTGCCCTTTTCTAGATCATCGGGGAGTACATGAAGTTATCTGGAGCTATCAGCAGAAGCCTGGAAACAAAAATGCTTGAGCTGTGCATGACAGAGCTGCTTGAATTTATACCAAGGTCATTACCACTCCTGGCAGTACTTTCTTTTCAAATGAGTCTCACACTGGTGAAAACACAGGGAAAAGGTCTGTGCACTGGACCAGGTGCTGGCATCAAGCAGGTATAGGTCTGCTCTTGGAGAATTAAAGATTACAGTGAGCCAAATAACAAGCAAGCTGCAGAACAACCTGGAGGGAGTCATAAATAGATCCATACAGGACTCTTGTAAGCCTTAGAATCTAATGCCAGAGCTCCAGGAAGGAGCTGCTGTCTGGGAAGGGATGGTACCACCGTGATCACATCCATCCAGGACCTTTGTGCATGAGATGCTGGTCACTTGCAGCTTCAGCCATGAGCAAGCAGCAATTATGGACCCCTCAGACCCAAAGCCTGCTTGCCCAGAACATCATCTGGGTGTCCTAGGGTGAGTCCTGCTGAGAGGGTTTTCTCTGACCTCCCATGTCTTTGGGCATAAAAATGGATGGTGAGACCCTCTCTGCTACACCTGGGCAAAACATACAGCTGGGCTGCCTTCTGAGTCTCTTTGAAATTCACCCAGTGTCCAAGGGAGATTGCTGAAATAATGGGTTTTTTTACTTGATAGTCTCCACGTTATGGTCTCAGGTCTTACCCGCCGCAACATGCTTTGGGAATGCTCCAGGGAAGGTTTTAGGCTTGCAGAGGGTCCCAGCACAGTGACACATTGTCTGATGCCCCTGTCAGGGCTGTATTTGGGATGTCCATGGATGTTTGCCGGAGCAGCAATCTGCGGAGGAGAAAGGCTGTTTGACGTGAATCAACTATGAGCAAGACTAAAAATAATTTTGCATTAACCTTTGAAGTTTCCCACCTCCAGCAGGCACCAAGTGTGGAGTTTGCTAATGCAGGAGCATGGGTGGGGAGCCTGAGCACTGCTTTCTCCCATCATGAACCTGGGGCATGGCAGGGGTCCAAATTGCACTAAAGGCAACACTTTCCCTTCTAAACCCTCATCTCTAGTAGCCCAGCGATCTACACTTCTCTCCCATGCCCTGAGTGAGCACGGTAGTTCAAACCAGCTATTTGGCTCTGAAGTCTGTCTGGGTTTTTGAGGAGAAACAAGGCAGTGATGTTCTGGCCTTTTCTTTCCCTCATTTTTCTTATTTTTCTCTTTTATTTCTTTGTTCTTCTTTTCCTCTTTCTTTGTTTTATTTTTTAATTATTTTTTCTTTTATTTTTTTCCTTTTATTTTTTATTGGTTTTTTTAAAATACTGTACAATTCAAACCAGGGCAGCAATAGCTCTCAAAGGACCACTGAAACTTAAGCTTTTATGGAAACAAACCTGAGATACAAGCGCCTGAGGCCAGCCTAAGCAGATCCCTTTACCCTGACAAAGAATGGGACCATCAAACAAAGCCTTCTTGAGCACACAGCTTCCTGTCATCAGCACAGACCTGTCTGTAAAACAGCTGTGAAACCCATAGAACCTGTGCTACACAAAAAAAAAAGCTACCTGACACTGAGGTCAGGGGGAAGAAAAGTCAGATGTGCTACCCTGTTCCTATTCACCTTCTGTTTTAAAATCAGCCCTCAGGTAAATCCTTTGCCTGTGTTGTGCTTAAAAAGGCACGCAATATATTGTCCCAAAAGCCAGCAAGATGAAGGTCCAGGCTTACAAGCCTGAGTACCACAGCTGCAATTAAACCCTCAGCATGAGGAAAAGTAAGAGTTGGCCTGCCCACATCCCTGGCATCTCTCCAAAAGTGCTCTGTACCTGCTCAGGCGAGCGCATCCTAAACCTGTAATTATCTGCCATCTATTTTCCTCCAGTGCACACACATGTTGTGACAGCTGGAGAAAACACGTCTGCATACAGAGGGGACAGGTTGGGCCAGCCATGGGTGTCTCCTGACATCACCACGTACACAGAAGATGAGCCATCCTCAGTCCCCCCACCATTAAGTGTTACCTGAGTGTCTTTTCTTGCAGGTTTGAGAAGGAGTTTGAGAAGGCTTGGAGCACTGCCCAGGACAGCCCCATCTTTGCACCCTATGTTGTTGCCTACATCAACAGCTTCCACGACCTAATGTAAGTCCACTCCCCCTGAGCTGAGATGCCATGTTTTTGGGGTCTGGGAGGGTAACAGCATCTGTAAAGGAAAGATCAAGGTCTCCTTGGGGTGCCCCACTGGGTGCTCAGTCTCCAGCCCTTCTAACCTCACAGGAGGATTTTCACCAAGGGATGCAGATAATAGTCACAGGCATGAAGAGACAGAAACATGAACAGATGCAGTGCTTGCATGAAAGTTTTAAACTCATTTTCAGCCTCAGAGGAGGGGTTTTTCCACATTTTCTTCTGGAGGTTAGCAGTACAAACCCAGAAACACGGTCTCAAGGCTGCCTTTGGTGCTGGGCTGGAGGAAACAATGAAAGCACTGAACCTGAAAATAAACCCCTGCCATTGCATCTGGCAGCTGGAACTTCCAGGGCTTTGCATGAATTAGTTATTTCAAGCCACTGGTTGAAAAGTGCCTCTGATGAACAGGTATCGTCAGTGCTGACTATCAGAGATCTGACTATCCCTCTCTCCATAAGTAGGATGGTGCCAGTGAGTGCATGTCCCAGGGTCTGATCCCTCAGCCCAGTGCTGTGGCACATGATGACCTTGCACATCCCACTCTGCAGCCACTTACACAGCTGCCACAGCCCCTCCCAGTGCCAGTTCCATGGAATACTGGTGCTGTTCATACGCCTGCCCCAGGGGGATGGTCTGCAGCCACGCAGGGACATGGCCCACCGAGGCCCAGGGACCCTTCAGCATCTGGAGTCATCTCTGCCATGCAGATATGGTGCTTCAGAGGCCAACCCAGCAAAACAGCACAGGAATAATGCGTGGGCTCTAGCCACCAAAAAGCTTGGGTTGTGATCTCCAGCTCGTGTTGCTGCACTGCTGCCTGGCACTGCCTCCTGTGAGGATGCTATAAGCCAAATATTACTGAGGGGATGGAGAGGATTTCGTGTTCGGTGTCTCGCAGGAGCCGACGGCTCCAGCCGCAATGAGCACTACCGTAGGGAAGTCTCTAGATGGCACGGTCTCTCCAGCAATGCTAACCTCGCCGAGGAGCTGGCTTTCACTGCCTCCTCCTGACCCTGCGGAAAATTGCTCTCCCCTTCCCTGCTGGAGACTAGCGAGGGGGTGAAGGGAGACGACAGCCCCAGGCAGGGAGCTGGCAGCGTTTGGGTGGTGGATTGGCTCTGCTGGGTTTATTCCTGAGTCAAGCTGTCTATTCATCAGCCTGAGGTGATGAGTACTGGGCAGAGCTAGATGACCTAACAGCATGATTTTTTGCATGCGGGACCCAGAATTCAACGGGAGTTGCAGCCCTGAGCTCCAGCCTGGCATGACAGGGATGCTGTTGAGTGCTTTATAGTCCTGCCTGGGCAACCTCAGACGTACAAAGTCTGGGCAGAGGCAGGAACCTACCATTCTCCGTGGTCACAGCAGTGGATATGGCACATCCATGGAAGCTCGGGCACTACTGGTGCTGCCTTGCTTCCTCAGTTCCCCCGCCCCCCGTCTCCCCAAAGTGTGTTACAGTGGGACGGGAATGGAAAGTGAGAAGAAAGACAGGAGCACACAATGCCCCCAAAGCTCACACACACACTGGGGATTCCCTTAACCTCTCAGAAGTTGTGTTTTCTTCCTCATGGGGTGAAACCTTGCAGAAGTACGCACTGTCCTTCGGAAATTCCACAGGTTTCCATACCCATAGTCCCCATCCTAGCTGCTGATGATAGACATTGCGTGGAGTGATTCAGATGGGCTCTGGGGGACACAGGCTCAGCAATTTTCCCTTCTCTGGCTTTATTATTTACTTATTTCTTCACCCACGGCCGCTCAGTGCTCTCCCAGGTACTTGCAGACCATTTAGCAAAGGTGTTGCTCAAGTGAAAGAGCAACCAGCCTATGCAACTGCTCCGCATGGCTGCACCATCCCACCTGATGAGGAAATCTGTGGGGTTTTTAGGCACAGTCACAGCTGTGACTCATTTTCAGTGCACAGGATTGTGCAAAAGGAGCCATTACTTTGACCCATAAAGTGTTTCCAAGAGGAAGTACTACAAACAAAAGTTTATTTAAATATAATATCCAACATTCCAATCCAGATAAAATGCTTAGGGCACTGTAATAGTTTACATTTTAACATCAACTCACTGGTGTTCTCTCTCTGTAGGTCAGGGTTAGAAACAGAGTTTGAAGTCAACACTGAGGAACTGCAGAAGATTTTGGCAGCTCTGACAAGGAACTTCACAAATATTTTTCTAACGAAATTAAAAACGAAAACACAGGTAAGAGGATCTTGGCCATGTTATTTCCTCAATGTAAGGGGTATGTGCAGGACCACTGCAGAAGCTGAGAGCCATTATCCTTCCCTTGTCTCACCAACTAGACCTCATTTTGCAGTGCATGACATTATGGTCTCTCCAAAATGCATCAAGCCTAACACTCCTGTAGAAATCCTCCTTAACTCAAAGCAACACTTCTGGCATCCTGGGAGTTTTTTGCTTTGAGCAAGGACACCTTTGTCAAGCTGTTTACAACCATCAAAAGAAAAGGATATTTAGTGGCTTCCAGTATCTCAGGCAAAGCAGTAGGGAAAAACCTTCCCCATAATGAGGCACATGGGAAGTCAGCTGAACACCACCAATGAGACATTTTTTCTTCTACTAAAACGTTTGGATTTCTCAGGACTTTGATTTATTCTTACTGATTCGTTGATCTGCCATCATGGTCTGTAAGCAGCCTCTTCAGATAGGACAGAATTAATTCTGGTAGAGGTGATTTTTCCAGCCTGTTCCCATGGTGAAGAAAGGCTGATTTTTCCAGCATGAGGATGCTAAAGCTCTGGTATCAGCTGATAAAGCTCTGATATCAGCTTGTGTTGAGGCCTAAAATGCAATGCAATGTGCTGCAATGAAGTTTGTGCTTCCCAGGTGCTGTAGGTGGGACCTTTCTGGTCTCAGCCAGCTGGGGCCCACTAGCTCTAGCTGGTATAATACAAGAGATGAGGCAAATCAAGCCTTTGGTCACATCCTTTTTCACTCAATCTCATTCACTTTCTAAATCCCCAAACATAACTTTCAAAAACCAAGGCAGTCATGGGAACTGATGCAACCTAAGCCCAGTCTGCCTGGCCAAGGGGACTTTCCAGTGACTATAGATCTTGTCTTGGAGCCTAAGTGACAGGCAAGGAAAGGAGTCAAGCCAAGGCATTGAGCAAGAGACCCGAAATGTGAGAACTGAGAGAGGCTGAGGCAAAGCATTTCTAAACAGCTCTTTTGGCACTTTGTGCCATGGTCTGGTAGCCACGGCAGTGTTGGATCAAGGGCTGGACTTGATGCTCTTGTAGGTCTTTTCCAACCCGGCTGATTCTATGATTCTGTGATTCAGCAGGCTGGGAGCATAGCAGGAGAGCACAAGGAGGGGGAAATAATTGGGAAGGAGATTGCCAGGAGTCTAAAGCCAGAGATCCTGTGAGCTAAGAGGAGAAAAGAACAAAGAGGATGTGTCAGAGAAGGGATATTTTGCATTTGGCCCTTAGGGGAGTTTCTTCCAGAAGTCTTTAGCAGATATTGCTGTGTTTCTGTGTGAAGGCACATTAAGCCTAGGGACCCAGCAAGGACAATAACCCACTGAGAACACTTGGTCAGAGTACCTTGAACCCAGGACTGATGTGAGACTGCCATAACTCCCATGTCATCACTGATCATGAGGCATCAAGCTGGAGATGCTCCCAGCTGCTATTCCCCTCCCATCACATTAGACCAATGAGCAGAAGGAAAATCCCAGTGAGACTTCATGCAGGTCTGCAGGAGTACAGATAGCCTCCTGGAAGGGCTGTGAACATGAGGAACTTGATTTCCTTGTGGACAAGGCTGTAGGGGTGATGGATTACTGGGCTAATTTCCAACAGATTCACTCCCAAGTGACCTGTCATTTCCATAGCTGGTGCAAACCCAAGTAACAGTAACATACATGACTGCACAACACAGCTTGTTCTAATCATGCCTGAGTTTTCTGTGATTAACATTCACATCTGTTTCTTCACCTATGCAGTAGGGATACAAATTCATCTACCCAAAGAAATAGAGCTGGTGGGTCAGAAGGTGGCACAGAGAAAAGAAATGAGGTATCTCAAGTAAGCCTTTAATGCCAAAACATCTGCTCAGGGAGCGATGCTTCTCCTCTCTGCACTGGCATGCCTACCCAGAAAGGGGAGACATGTGTCTGAATTCGCTGGGGTGGAGAGAGAAACTCACCCTGCTCTGTGCTCTGGGTGTGTCTTCCTGCAGAGGGAGTGTACCATCAGTGCTCTGTGATTTTTGTTTTAAGCCAGCAGGTGTACAGCTGAGTGCCTTCAGCTAGGGCATTTCAGCTAATCTGAATGTTACCAGTGCCATCAGTGAGCTGGTCTTTTTTCAGCCATTCCTTAAGAAAATCCTGACCAAGGACTGGATTTTGGACACAGGAAGGCCAGACTCACTGGCATCAGCAGTCTCGCAGTTCTCTGAGCACCTGCAGCACATGAGGAAGCCCACGGGTCAGGTAGGCCACTGATCCCACACCTGGGCACAGCGATGCTGGGGAGGGTCACAATGTCCTTTTCAGGCTGTGGTCAGACCTGCAGATTCCTCTACAGTGGTGGTTGCTCTTTATAACTGTGGGAACTGCATATGCAAAGGAGTTCAGATATTACTATACTTCCACATGTGAATTACAGAACAACTTTCCTTCCTGTAGTTCAAATACAAAAACTGATTTTGTTTAAAGAAGAACAGAAAGCTTTCATGACAATTGCCTCTGAACATTGCAATTCCATGAGTTGCAGGCTTATGTGCTCCTTTCACATCTATGCAGTTGTGAAATAAAGAGATAGGTGACAACTGCTCTGTATTTAAAATCTGCAAGCACCATTAAAACTGGCTTTTAAAACAATCCAAAATATCCCCCTTTGCTACTGAGAACCCAAACTACCAACACAAAATTGTGGGCTATTTCAGGATGAGGAGTATTTCCGTGGCATTCCCTTGGGTGCAGCCACTGCTCTGTGCCAGAGCAAGGGACTGTAAGCCACTGATTCCTTTCATCAGGGCCTGCCTGGGCAGCATGTGCTGATGGTGTGTTGCCTTCATGTACCTCCTCTATGTCCTCAGGTGCTGCTAAAGACCTAAGAGCTTTCCCTGCCCTCTTTCACTGCCTTGGCCTTGTATGGGAACCACAGAAAAACCATGAGGTCTGTTTTTTTTATCCAGGAGCTTCTACGTGAAGTTCATAGATATGTGGTAAAGGAATATATCACACAGGTCATCAAACACAGATGGAGAATGAACAGGGAGACACGGCAAGAAGTGAGCGAAAAGATGGACCTGGAAGCCAGAATCTTTCATAATACTCTCATTGATCAGGTATGTGAATTCTCTCCTGGCCCATTCCCAGAGGTACAATATTTCCACTTGGCTTCCCAGAGACAAAGGCAGCAGGATTCTGAGGAGGTCAAGCCTCAAGAAGTATAGAAGTCCTTAAAAGAGAGCAAGTGAGGTTGTTACTGCAGGTTCATGGTGTGGGCTTCTAGCCCATCAGCCTCTCTACAGTGGCAGCTTTGCATGTTTTGTGGCTAGGCCAATGTTACAACCCATCTGTGAAGGCGAGGTAACTGAGGTTCTTGTTAATAGATCCCTTGGGGCAGATTAGAGTGAAACAACACTGAATTACCAGTGTTTATAAACATATATATATATGTGGCAGGTTTATTTTAGAACAATTTGATTGCAATGGAAATGAGGGATGTAGCCATTTTGGTTATTGTCTATAGTAATATAACAATATAAAGGTATAAAAATACCGCTTAAGAAAATATGTAAAGGAAAGGAAGAAAGAGAAAGAAAGCATAAGAGTAGATAGTGGAGAGGAAAGATATCACCACCCATGGATCCAGCGATGAGGCTTGATTGTCACAATTTAGGTGCCTGTTGGTTGAAGTGATGGTCGCAGTCTTGATCCATCTGAGGTGGGAGAAGGCTGCAATGGGTTTAATGGGTTCGGGTGAGAATGCCCAGGTACCTCCCAGGGGGGGATGGCAGGGGGCAGGAGTTTCTCACTGTCTGATATAATGCTGTGGATAATATGCAGTCTTCTGTTGGAAGGCCCCAGAAATGAGTCTGGAGCAGCTTTGGGGTCTTTGATGGTTCATGACCCCTTCTAAAACATGACTGCTCTTTCTCACACCTGTGTAGTTGAGCCAGTTATGCCTTATCAGAAAAGATACGTGTGAATGTCCCAATACCTCCCCATGAAGGGGGAGTTTTACACATGAACCAGCTGTGTAAAGAAGGAAATTGGCATGATAAAAAACATTATTCCACCTCACAGGATCTGCTTCCTGTTGGCTTTTTCCTTATCTGGCTCAAAAACCACCTTGTTGCTTAAAAAAAGGTTAGTTTGTCACGGTCACCCTCCAGTGGTGGGTGCTCACGCGCTCTGCGCCTGGGCTGTTCTTACACAGATCAGAGGTTTTGCCACCACACACTCAAAAACTGGGTGCAAACCTGGCCTCAGCAAAGCAGCACCCTGCCACTTTTGAAAATAGCTGATTATTTGAGTCATTAACTTTAACATTTCAGTCTCTCATAGCAACATCAGTCTGTGATTTTCAGGGAAGCCAAAGTTGAATTAACTGGATTTTGCAGAAAGTCAGGCATCCAGGGCACTAAATCCCCTCTCAAAAATAAGGCACATGAAATTATTAGGCAGCAGGAGGTAAAGTCTGGCATCTGCCTGTGTGCTAGACCACAGCCACAGTGCCCTGACCAGGGTCTGACTCATGGGATGCTCATGAGCACCGGGAAGGGCAGAGTCTGGCCTCAGGGGAACTGCTTGTTGGCACCTTGCTGCCTGCTGGAGGCAGCCTGTCCTGCCTGCAGCAGTTCTGCCTCACACCCAGCTCTGCACTGTAGGGAAAAAGGCATTTAGCAGGTGCTGCTCTCCCCCTTGACATCCCCATGTGCCTCTTCATCCACAGGGCTCTGACTCTGACTGGCTTGTTCCCGCCATACACCACATTGCCAAGATCATTAGAGAGAAGAAAAAGGACAAGATCAAGGTGTATGTCAAGAAGCTGTGTCAGAATTATCCAGATATCAGGTACACAAAACGACAGATGCCAGAACTGTTGGGCTCCATCCTGAGCTCTTCATCTCATTGTTGGTAGCCATATGGTAGAGGTCAGTATGCCAGCAACAGTGGGAATCCCATCTTATTTTTCTCTCTTTATGTCTGTATACTTTCTCTTCTTTCCCCCTGTCTGCTAGATCTTATGATGCACACAAATTAACTTCAAAGCCTTTTCATTTTAGAATGGAATGGAACAGAATAGAATAGACTATTTCAGTCTATTAGGAGGGGACCTACTACGGTCATCCAGTCCAGCTGCCTGACCACTTCAGGACTGACCAAAAGTTAATGCAAGCTATTAAGGGCATTGCCCAAATGCCTTTTAAACACTGATAGGCTTGGGACATCAAACACCTTTCTAGGAAGCTTGTTCCACTGTTGAACATTCCTCTTAGTAAAGAAATGCTTCCTAATGTCAAGTCTAGAACTCCCCTGACACAGCTTTCAACCATTCCCATGCATCCTATCACTGAATTCTATTTTTTTGCTCCAAATGAACCTTATTTCACGGTAAAGCTCTGGTCTGATTTCAGTGCATCACCAGTATCAGCCCAGTTTGCTGATTTGTAGGCTCCAGATTCGAAGCAAATACTTTGTCTCCTCTTCTGAGGCTCAGACCTCAAAGTGAGGCAGTCATTGATGGAGATCAGCTGTGGTTTCTGAAATGACCTCAACACAACCATTAAATTTTGGAATAAATTACATATTCTTTCTTTTATACTTTCCGTTTGTTGTTCCAAAGCTGCATCTGAAAAATTTAAAACTACCGCAAAAGTAAACAAAGTGACTGGCTCTGTGCATGGCTAAACAGCTGCCAACTAAATCAGAAGTTACCTCCTCTTCTACAGCTCTTCTACCAACAACTGAGAATGAATATCAGTGGTACAGACTGCAGAAAACTCCATTTCATCAGAGTAATTTCAGGAAAAAAACTCGAAGGCTTTTGTACAGAGTTACACTGTTTCTGATGGATGACATTTATACAATCAAAACAAACCATAAATTCAACTAATTGCTCAGAACACTGAAGTGGACCCTCAAATATTGAGAAAAAAAAGCACATTAAATCTGTTTTGTTCCTGAGTAATTTCCTAGGTGAACACACCTATTAAAAAAAAAAAAAAAAGATTTAATCTCAGTGGCCAGATTAAGCTGACGAAGGAGGCAGTGCCTTTTCTGGGAAGGATGGGGGAGGTAAATTATGCCTAGTCATCAATGATGGCTATTTGAAAACAATTTTCCACTCAGAAAAGCCATTTACAAGGCTGTAATTTGTGGTACCTTTTCATCATTAGGCTCAGACCCAAGCCAGGTTTTAAGGCTCGTCCTCTTGATTTATCTAATTATTGACTTTCCATTATTGAGTAATACTATTTTTAACAATCAAGTTTGGAAAACGGGGTGGAACCTGCTGGACCTGCATTGCTTCCTGTTCAGGTCTCTTAATTCTTCCCCTGAGCTCTCAGAGACGTTGAGGAATTTGTATATACTGAGATTACTGGAACAGGGTATGTTTCCAAGTTGGCTTCCCAGCTCTAATCTAATTGGTGCCTGTCAACTTCCTAAATATTAGCACTTCCATTACTCAATTCAAAATAACCATTAAACAAAAGGTCTGCAGCCTCTCAGGAAAACTTGAAATAGGCATCACGTGTGTGTGGAGACAGAGGAGGAAATTCCCTGAAGCACCAGCCAGCAGGAGGGCGTCCCACCAGTGCGGTGTGGCAGGAGCTGATTATCACTGGCTTGATACCTCCATAAGCTGGAGACCCAACTCCTGGTGGCTCCTCCAGCGTGGTGAGGGGACGGTCCCTGGCACTTTGCTATGTCCTTGCTCCATCTCCTGCGTGGTTGTTGGTTGTTACCTTTTGGGCTGGTTTTGCCTGCCAGGTCTGAGCAAGGTCGTGTTTGGTTTTTCAGGAAGGGCCACATCCTGGCCATCCTCGCTCGCCGGGGGCTGGGGCGCACCAGGAGAGCAGCAATTCTTCGTCAAGTCTGCCATGTGCTGGAAAGCTCCAATGGAGGAGAGGGCAACACGCTCTTCGCTGAAATTGATGTTCCGGTGGTCATATGCTGCTTCTAAAACAGAACCAGAACAGCAGTCAGCATCCTCCCGCCTCCTACACTGCCTCTACACATGATCCAAAATCTGCTACCCTCCCTTGCTCCTCTGCAAACCCAAATATTTGATTGCCATGGAGAAAGAAGCAGTTTTCTGAACTTGCTACCGTGAGTTCAGAACCCGAAGGCAACAGAGGCACTGAGACACCAACCTCCTGCAAGAGCCCCTGGGAAGCAGCTCCAGTTCAGACACCGTGTCTACCTCACGTTCCATACAGATTCTATTGCTGGGAGGCTGCTCTGTTGTTTGGTCCAAAATTAAATTTCTCTTCAGAGAAAACCAAAAGCAGTTCGCTCAGAGCTATATTAAGGCTCGGACTGTGCTTTGCATAATTATACAGCAGCAGAGCGAGAGCCTCCTTTGTAATTAGTACCCATGAGCAATCAAGGGGCAGAGCTTGGGTAGGGATGTGGTAGCACCCAAGTCTTATTTCCTCCACTGTGAACCAGCTGGCCAAGCTGGCATGATGCAAGGCGGTGATGTAGTGACCTGATGCCAAAAACCACTACCTGCCTGAGGAGGAAAACTTTGGGTAAGCAAACCCCACGGGTGGGACATGTAGCACATGGACTACTCTGCCCTCCAGGATGGCCCTGGTGGCCCTTCAGGCATTTCAGCAGATTTTCCTCACTCACGGGCTGCCTTGGGAAACTCCTGTTGGACCGAAGATCTGTTCATGCCATCACAGCCTCTCTGTGTGGACAGGCATGTCTGGATCGGATGTGCCATGTGGAGTGAAGCTCCAAGTTCTCCTTGACCTGAGGAAAAGGGTCATCATGCCTCTAGTCCATTTTCTTGTATGTTTAAACATATTTTAACAAATCTGGTACAATCTGACTGTAGTATGAAACCAAATGTGAGGTGGACAGACATAGTGCTACAGATCTGATCCTCATCTGGTGTAAGCCAGCATCACCCCATTGATGGGCGTGGAACACCATTGGTTTAAGACCATGAGTGATCCAAAGCATCACATCCAGCATCTGCAGGGGAGACTAAAAGAGACATCCAGCAGCCTAGAGATGTACAAATCTGATTTTATTTAATTCAATTTATCCTTAGGTTGCCCTCCACAGCAATAAATCTGAGACTTTACAGAGATGTATTTATGATCTATCAATTAATCTGATAAATGTGGACATGGCATAGCCTTGAACACTAATTTGTCTACAGCAGAGCTTACAGCACCAGCAGTGAGACTTTCAGTTCCTTTGCTTCAGGTTGCACCAGTATAAATTTCAGCCTGGGTGAGCAGCAGGCACTGGTGACAGGCCAAGGGAGCTGTTCTGATGGATGAGAAATAAAGAGTGCACCTTTTATTCACAATCATCCTATGAGAATTTTTCTAAGATAAACCTGCTACCTCCACAGTAAAGATAAGGTGTTCTTCTAAAGATGGCTTTGAAATATCAGGTACAAATTGACAGCTTGAGACAGAAAATCCTGGAAGGAATTTTCTGCCCTGCATCTTTCTTCAATACAGCTCATGACAACTCCTGCAAATCCTCAGCTTGGTGACTGTTTGTATTTGCTATGGAGAAGGAGAAGTAAAATATCATATGCATCTCCCATTGGATGTGAAGAGCTCAGGAACACTTTGGAGCTCCCCTTTCCTGTCCTGGGGTCAGGGTGAATCAGGGAGCATTGGATTACACCCCTCATGGATCTGTGAGCTACATCCCCCATCCCAGCAGAGGGGAAGGACACAAGTGCTGAGAGATTAACATTTATTGTTAAAAGCATTGACTAAATGGCAGAAACAAAAGGATTTCTTTTACATACTCAGTCAGAGACTTCTAAGACTGCAACTTCAGTGGAGTGCAGGATTTGAAGCACTAAAGCCTCAGTGGGAGTTTTTGTGCATCAGAAATTTCCCTCTGTCCTGTATGCATCTCTCATCCAAGCACCTAACACAAGGCATCTGTGGCACAGACATTTTCCCAAGTGTATTAGTTAAATGTATACTGGGTTTTCAATCTTATTATTTGACTGGCAAATGTTTCACAAAGCCTCTCCTCAGCCTCCAGATGCCTGGCCCTGGGATTAGATATGGAACTCGGCTTCCGTTTTCTAATAAAAGCAAGTTGCTACCCTGGAGTCATGGAGGAAAGCTGGGCACAATGGCCTGCCTTTTGTCACAGCCTCTCCTGGGACACTCAGACCCTGCAGCCTGGCATTCTGTAAGCCAGTGACAGGCACAGAGCTGGCTTCCTCCAGGCTGCTGCTCTCCAGCTGCCTGCTCTTGAGCAAAACAGTTTAACTCCATTATGACAAGACTATGGTTCAGTCCCTGTCCTGCCCCAACAGCTGTCCAAGTGGAGAGGGAGATCCAGGATGGGTGAGAAGCAGGGGTCTCCCTGGGCAGGGGGATGCTTGGTCTGGGCTGCAGAGCAGACCCTGGAGCCAGTTAAACAAGGAGAGAAGAAGGACTGTGTGCTTTCCAAAATGAGCTGCTGCTGTCCAGCTGTCTTCTGTAAAACATCCAGTGTTCATTACGCCACATCTCACATTCCAAAAACAAGAGAAGAAAGGCCTCTCAGGGCTTTTAAATGTGAAATATGTTGCTCTTGTAGGAAAGTGCCAAGGAACTCAATTATTATCACCCTGTTACCTCCTCCTGCTTGTTGTTTCTCAGTGAAGAAAAACACCATCATACCCATTCCTACCCCAGCACACAGTTACATTCCCTCCAGGACATAGAGCTCACTTTTATCCCCAAAGACCCAAGCTACATTATGCAGATGCATCCTCTGGTGAATCAAGCTGTCTCAAAAGTATCCAACTAAATGGAAGAACCAAACTCTCTCCAGACTTAGCTTCTCAGGGGTGAACAATGCATTTTGGGGGAGGGGGAGGGATGTGCAGATTTGGCACAGCTGACAGTATTGTGTGGGTGGTGAAAGACTTTTTTTTTGTTTCAGAGGTCTCTGCTGTTTCACAATACTGTTTGTTTCTGGTTTGGGGTGAAAAGCAAGGGAACAGTGCCTGCAGTCAGGGTACATATGCTGGCATTTGCCATCTGAGACCAGCCTTTGGGTACCATCATTTCATCAATTTTGCTCTGTGAAGTTGTCCTTTCCTGGAAGGAAGATATGGAAAACAGGCTCACACAAAGCAAGAAAGGAGGAGTACCAAAACATTGCAGTGAATGCCCAGGAGGCTGTCCCTGAGCTGAGGCTCCTAATCAATCAGTCAAAATACTCCTGAAAAAAGTCTTTCAGTGCAGCACCACTATAACGTTTAGCTCCCTATCATGGTAGCTTTCAGAAATGAGCCCTCAGTTGGGTGAAAATATTAAAGATGATCAGTGAGAAGCAGATTGCAATATTCTGTCCACTTTATGAGCTGGGCGATGTGGCCTGACACTACCCAGCACACACAGCTGGCATGAAAAGAGGTGCCAGAACGTTGTTATCTCAGGGATGGCTGAAAAGTAAACTTGTATTAGTTTTAGGTTTAGCGACTTTGGTGATTATATATCACACTTCTCCAAAGAACTGATGTTTAGCGAACACTTGTCTTCTGTATTTTGCATCTTTCTCCATGAAATCTTGTTGTGGTTGGATTTACTGCCCCAAAGCCAGTCATTTTCATTCTCTTGGTATTGGGCAGATACAGGAGTGCTCCGCTCAGTATCATCGTCCGTTTCCATCCCTTCAGGACAATTTTGTATAACACTGCTAATGATGACGTGACATTAGCACTGGGACTGGTCCACCTCTCCCATAAAACCTGTGCAAGAGATCAGTCAGGCTGACAGAGCACTGACTTAAACTATTTACTATCACTGTTACAATAAAAAACCGGTATTGGGAAAAGGTTAAGACTGATGTACATTATTGTGTGGCGAAAGTGGATTAAGATAACCTTTACAAAACTACAAGAATTTTCTCTAGTCCCACAGCCACATAACTGTCTACTGCCTGAGGATACTGAGCACATAAACTTTGTCTTCCTGCCTTCATCCCTGTCACACAGAGCACTGCAAATGTAGCACTCTCCATTTATATTTGTAAATTCATACCAAGTCATTCAAATATGTTATCCAGAAAAGAAGTAACATGTAAGACAGAGAAACCTCTGAAAAAAAGGCTGTTGTAGTATTTTTGCCATCTTGATACTACTTGAGAGTCTTGAAATGTCAGTGTAGGGCTTTGTCTGCTAGCTGCACAGGGGTTGTACCTCTTGCTAAATGAGGCAGGAAAAGTGAATGCCAGATTAAAGATGAGCACCTAAGTCCCAAGATGTCTGACCAGGCATGGTTTATGTTTGGCCAGGTATGAAATTGTGCCTGGCAGCACGAGCAGCCTGAGCTCCGTAATGAGTGTGGGACTGGGGAGATGCCATGGCTTCATTAGGAGATGCAGGATTACGCCTTGGTTCCCAGGACTGTGGGGAGACTGGCATCAGGCAAGACAGAACTGTTTTTTTGTGAAAAGTGTTACACAAGTGCAGAAAAAGCAAACCAAGCCAGAAGGCAGAAAGAGGTGGTTACACAGCTTGCCAAGCCATCCCCCAGCTGCACTCAGTCCCTGGGAAGGGGATGGTGAATGACAGCTGGGAGAAAAACGCTGAGAATCAGAAGGCAGCCCAGAAAACTGGAATTATTTCACAAACTGCATCCACAGAGAAAGAAAGCTTTGCTTAACATTGGTCAGTGCAGAGCAGTGGCCTTCAACTTTTTGCTGCCTATGGACTAAGGTATTATTTCCAGCGAAGGCACAGAGCGCAGTTGTGATAATTGTCTTCCAGTCGGATAAAAAATTACTGCAAAAGGGAAGGAATATTCTCCTCACCATTTTCTGTGGGGGTCAGGAATAGAGAAACAAGCTGCTACTTCAGTAAGTAGAGGCAAGTTAGATGCAGCAAAACTACCAGTAGTGCTGACGGGGCTGGAGCGCTGAGCACAGTGTGTAGTCCCTACCATTGGTGGCTTTTACAGAATCACAGAATTGCAGAATGTTTGGGGTTGGAAGGGATGCCAAAGATTAGCTAGGTCCAGCCTGCCTCCCATGAACAGGGACACCTTCCACTAGACCAGGTTGCCCAGATCCAACAGCGCTTCCTGGTGAAGCTCGTCATGGGTAATTCCAGAACTGAAATTAAGGAAAATCAAAGTAATCATAAAAGTCCATTATCCTGAGCAAGGCACAAAATGCTGGGGATCATTTCCTGAGCAAGGGAGCTCACAAATTTACAATACTTTTTCCAAAACTCAGGGGAAAAAATATTTCCTGAAAGAACTGTGCTATGAACAGAAGCTCATTGAGTAGACAAGAGGCAATCATGGAATTAGTCATCAGGGATTCATTAGAAGGAGCAAGGCCGAAAATCTGGTGGCTTTTGTCTCTAAAAGCACGTCATGCACTCGTGGACCGTCATCTTCCCCTCACGGCTCGCGCTACAGTTCAAGAATGCATTACTCATGCTTTTGTCTTGAGAGCCCTTTAAACAAATGGGTCTTGAGCCTTCAAGGCACCAGCGAAAGCACATGGTACCTCTTTCCTCAGTGATCTCAAGGCTGAATCCACCCTGTGCCTCTTCTTGCTAAGCAGCTGTTAGTCACCCTCTGAAACAAAGACCATTCCCCAGGACCACACATGTGCTGTCTTCAAGAAGACGTGTGGAAAGAAATAACAGCCCAAAGGGCCAGGCTGGATTTGCACGTGGTAAGAAGTTCTCCCAGCAAGCTCAGGAGGAGCTGTTATTTCTGTTATTCGGAAGCACCACTGCCTGAGGCTGCCAAAGCATGGATGATACACCATGTTGGCTCAGGAGACCTTCTGGATGTGAACTGTGTCCTTATGGCACAAGGAGAGAGGCAAAGGGGAGACAGTGGAGTGCAGAGAGGGGAAGCACTGAGAAACAGCTTGTGCTGCTCATTCCATGCATCTCCTGCCCCTGCCTCAGCCTGCAGCCCAGCCCTACACCTGCCTCTGCCACCAGGAGATGACAGCTCCAGGAAGAGGCACCTGCACAGCCCTGGTCCTAGACATCCCTAATGTCTCAGGAGCTTATGTGCAGCCTTGTGACATCCCATGTGAAATACCTCTCTTCAACTCTGTTTTATCTGAAAAAACAGCTCTTTTTTCCCCTTTTTTGTTAACCATAAACTTTATTCACTACCAAACAGCACAAAGCCAAATTCAGCCCTGGCATAAGGAA